AGGCTGGTTTCCCACTCACCTGTGTCTCATGACTTGAATGAAATCCTTGCTCTTCAACTGCAAGTACAGATCTGTTATTGCCTCTGAACGACACAGCACCACTTCTAGACAGAGAGTCTTCATCACACCATGAAATTTTGGCAGCAGGAAGAACACGGTGTTCATGAACCTAACCAGTGGACATGGCCAGTGAGTGGCAGGGCAGTCTCAACCATCCCCGCCATAGGACATTCACCACTTCAGCATCTTACCTATCGGCCAGTGGAGGGAAGTTTTTCACAGCTTTGTTCAAGCACACGATAAATTTGTCCTCCATTGTATTCTGATGCTGTTTCAGCTGTTTTACAATCAGTTCACACACAGACTCCTCCAGTATCTGAAAAATCAAGTCTCTTTTCCAATACACACAAGTGGAAACTTATGCTACATTTCTGAAAATAGTTTTATCTTGAATAGTTGAGAGTCGGTGTTATCATCTCCAGTGTTCACCAGGTGAAGCCAGGAGCACTCGTGGGCTTACACTGACCACTGAGTACCAGCAGAGGCTCTGGAGCCGTGAGTTTGGGTGAGCCAGGCTGCGTCCCCGCGCTTGTGCTGCAAGCACTGGCAGGGTCAGCTCATGTCATATGTCAGATCAATAAAAAAGATCAGTGCTGCCCTAGCCAGTTTAGCTCATTGGATAGAGTGTTCGCCTGCGGACTGAAGGGTCTCGGGTTTGATTCCAGTCAAGGCACATGCCTAGGTTGCAGGCTCGATCCCCAGTAGGGGGCGTGCAGGAGGCAGCCGATCAATAATTCTCTCTCATCATTGATGTTTCTATCTCTCTCTCCCTCCCCCTTCCTCTCTGAAATCATTAAAAATAAATTAAACAAATAAAAAAGAAAAAGTCCAAAAAAAAAAACAACACTGGGCAAAGTAATTGAAAAGACTTTTAAAAAAAGATTAGTGCTTCTTCTGACAATGAAACGCTGCCAACAAGTCATTTAAGAAGCAGAACTAAAATTCTTGATTAAATAAGTTTAAGACACATTTTATGGTGTCAGTGTTCATGTTTCCGGTCGAATATTCACACAAACCACAATTTTTAAGCAACTCTATCTCAACTATCACTGTCTATCTCCCTATACCTTGCTTTCTCATGATCACTACTACCTACTATGATAGATTTGATAGATTTCGTCTGTGAATTATCTGTCTCCCCTCACCACATGCCAGCTCCCTGAGGGGGGGACTTGCCCTGTCCTGTTCCCAGCTGCATAAAAGAGCCTAGAGCCAACCAGTAAGTACCTAACATACAGAGGTGGGCAAAGGTAGGTTTTCAGTTCTGAGTATGCGAAACTCAGTTTATTCTTGTATTTTTATTTATTAATTTTTGTATTATTTACTTGTATTACAACTGTAAACCTACTTTTGCCCATTCCTATATATAAGTGACCAACATGTAAGTGCCAAAGTTATAAAACAATGAGAACCGAACAATATGGGTAAAACAGTAGAAAACAAGATTGGGGTCTACATCTCAGGTGCCAAGAGTAGCTTAGTGGTTAGAATATGAGTGACTCTTACTTTTTTTTCTTTTCTTATTTACTTCTTTATGTTATACTAGTTCCCAAATTTCTACACAAAAATCAATGTCATTTTATATTTAGGAAAAAAAACTATGTAAAACAAAAGTATTTCTCATTCCTATTATGTTGAAATATAAGTCAAGAGAGATTGAACCTGGAATCTGCTATCATTTGCTCCATCCGAGGTAAATATTAAGCATTTTGTATAAACTGCTACCAAACATTTAGGGACATTAGAATCATGTCTTAAGGTTATTCTGAATTTTTAAAATTGTTTCTCTTACTAAAATAGCTGGGTATCCTTAAATAAATAAGTTTGATCTTCCCAAAGGGGTCTATTTCCTTTCAGCTTAATGTTATTTTATTTTAAATCCAAGTGAATGCCTAATTGGTAAATGGGCAGGGGGCCCAATCTGCTATTTGGGGATACCCTGGGTATCTTGAGGACCTCCTGACTTTCCCAGAGGTTCTTCTCATCCTGACTGACAAAGCATGTAGCCCAGACTCCACTTGACCTTTTCTTTCAGGAGAGGGGATGGACTAGAGATACAAATTTGGGAATCATGAACATAGAGGCAGTTTTTAAAGCCATGAGGCTGTATAATCAGCAGGGAAGCAGTAAAACAGAAGAAGACCAAAATCAGAGCTGTGGAGGTGGCCCAGGAAACACGCAGCTAAGAAAGGGAGAAGAAGCTGCCAAGGAAGTAGCGAGACAGCCAAGAGTGTCCCAGAACCAGTGACAGAGGGGAGTCAAGGAGGATCAACTGTGCTGCCGTGGACAGGCTGAAACAGAGCGGCCTGGTACGAGCATCTTATCACAATGAGGGACACTGCTTTTGGAGGCTCTGAGAACAGGCAGCACCTCACTCTATTGGCATGTAGGAGGAGAGCAATGTAGCAGTAAGCATCACCCCGCTACACTATTTTCAAGTAAGTTATAGCATGTAATTTTCATGCAGTTATACCTATAAGTTTTCAGTAATTATATTTATTGAAAATTATAGTACTCTGAATGTGTGCTATGCTTAAAAATGCAACAAGGCTCTTCTTACAATACAGTCAAGTGGGCAGGCACGTAAGACTAGGAAAGGCTCTCGAGGAAGCACTTTCTCCTGTGCAACGGTTGTATGATGTCAAAAAATGTAGGCGAGGATTTTAATAGCTTAATAGCCTAACGTTAGCAGGTATCTACCTGGATAATTTTCTCCAAAAGGATATCCTGAGACCAAGGTCGAGGAATGAAAGCTGGTTAAATACTCATATCCTGACTTTTATAATAAAGAGTAAGTTGCCAATCTTTAAATATTTAACAAATTTCCAAGTGTTTTAAAAAAAAATCACATGTCCTCTTTAAAAAAAATCACATGTCCTTTTTTTAAGTAGGAAGGAGTAAAATATTAACAAATGCAGAATGTCCACTTTGGTTTCTTACAGTACAGAGGATATAAGTATCAAATGTCATGACAAATCAAAATTGAAAAAGCATTTATTTAAAATTGCATAACACACTCACATTTTCTCTCTCAGTAATATATTGAAGAACAAGTCCCAGAACTTCTGCTGCTGCTGCATACACCTCTTTATATTTTACAAAGGACATATTATTGACCAAAGCTTGAAAGTATCTGTAACAAATATAGAAGATAAATATACATAAAATAATCCATTCTGATGACATAAAATTATAATGATTTTACTCTTTGTACCATATTAATAGCACAAATTGAGAAACTATGAAGCCTACAACATGATCCAAATTACTGATGTGAAGACATATATGAAGATGTCTTTGAGGCTCTGACATCATCACATCAGGGAGGCACATTAAAGTTGGTTCAATTACACTGAACCTGCTATAGTCAAAGTAAAACAATGCTGGAGAGGGGAGCTGACTCCAGCTGAAGAGGAGCAGGCAGAATGAGGGCCCTGCAGGTTCTCAGGCACTGATTTACTCCTTTAGCTCAACTGCCGGAACCCAGTGGCTGAGAAATAGAAACTTCCAGGCAGACAATGACCTCCCGGCACCTTCAGGGAGGCACTGTCTACAGCCTGAATTGCTTGGCTGGGCTTCCGAGACTAAGAAGCCTGCAGGATCTGAGGACTTGAACAAGCATCAATAAATGTGCTGGCTTCTTGGGGAACCCCTCCCCAAAAAACCCCATAATGCTGGACACTATAAAACTATAGTGAAGAAAAAGCTATTATTTAAGATTGTGATTTACTGACATCCTGTTAAAACCATCTACTATGACAGAGAAGGTCAATAAAATAATGAGAAAAAGAGTGAGTGTGAATACAGTGCCCCCAGACTTCACGGGCAAAGGGGCTTTTAATTTTCAGCCCAACCTTGGCTCTGTAAAGTTGTCACTGGAGAAAACCAAAGCTCAAAAAACAACAACACTACTAACTTGTCTAAAAGTAAGCTATTTCCTGTTAAATCTCTGTTGAGCAACATATTTGTAGAGGACCAACTAGACAGAGTGAGACACTTCCAAAGAAATGACAAAAGCAGGAAAGGCAGCTCAGCTGGTGTGGTTCAGTAGTTGAACCAAGAGGCCACTGGTTCGATTCCCTGTCGGGGCACATATTCTCTTTGAAAAAACTGAGTTTTTTTTAAGTAGGAAAGAATAAAATATTAACAAATGCAGAATGCCCACTTTGGTTTCTTACAATACAGAGGATATAAGTATCAAGTGTCATGACAAATCAAATTGAAAAAGCATTTATGTTTTTCAACAGAAACAGGTTGCAGGCTCAATCCCGGGTAAGGGGTGTGCAGGAGGCATCGGATCATTGTTTCTCTCTCATCAATGTTTCTATCTCTCTAGCCCTCTCCCTTCCTCTCTCTAAAATCAATAAAGACATATTTAAAAAAAAAAAGCATGGAAGGGACACGCTGAAATCTATAATGTAATCATGATATGAGCACTGACTTTAAGCCCCTCCACTGCATATGTTGGGCAATGCCCATGCCCACCATGGAGGGTCCTGATGGGAGGGGAGCAGTGTGGCTGCAACTATGCCAAAAGGCACAGAGACAGGGCAGGCAGCACGAGGTCAGTGGTACCCTTCATGGTCATCCTCTTATTTTTAATGGTTCACAGAGCTCATGTTGCTCTCAAGGGTAAATGCTAAAAATGTCACTTTAGAAAATAAGAGAAAAAAAACTTAATACCTCTTCTTTGACAAAATGTACATGAAAATTACATGAATTTTAAAAAACTTACCTTCCTCATTTACTCCATTAACACATTCTTCTCTCAGATGGCCTCTAAAGGCAACTATTTAAATTAAGGGAGAAATATTTAACATGCGTTCTAGCCCTTAAACTTATCAAAATTAAACCAGTCTATTTCCAACTCATGAATATTTTAACCTAAAAAAAAAAAGAAAGCAAAACTTTGATACTTACTTTATACTCTCTATGCCACATTTTGGGTCATAGGGAGGGAAGTTATTGGCCATTACAATGCCTAATAATTGAATTCCTACTGAATTGTCTTTAGAATTAGGATCTTTCCTAGAAAACTTTTCGAATATTAACCTGAAACAGAAGTATAAAAGTATAGATTATCATATAAATAAGAAGGAAGACAAGTATAAAATTTTCTAAGGAGAATACTCAAGGTAAGAAATACTCCCCCCCCTCCCCCCACATCTAACACCCCTCTTGCTAATACCCTCTTTGTTCACATCCAGGTTATTCTAGCTTTGGAATACAGGCAGTTTTATATCGTCCTATAATTGCTTGCCCTTTTGAAAGTGTTAGCTTACCTCAGGCAGTGCTAAAAGGAATCAAAGCAAAGTCCTAGTCTACCCTGGGCTGTTACATGGAGGAGCAGAGTGCTCTAGTGTCAACTTTGGGAGTTGTGGTTTTGTGAGTAGCAATATCATATCCTTATACATGGATTCTAATTCAAATTACAGTTCTCCTTCTATCACTTCAAGTAATTAAATTTCAGCATAATCACTATTTGAAACATCCTACATTTTTTAAATTTCTAAACAACATTGCAAAATCTAGTCAATTAATACCTGTAAGGGATGGATAAACAATCCTTCCAGCATTCAACAAGAGTTTTTATAATTTCAAGGTTGTGACTAAACACGGCTCTTTTTTGATGAAAAACATGCTTCATTAGGAAATTAAGCAATCGATTGGCTAACACTTCATCTTTGGGAACCCCCTGAAATGGTATAAAAATTATATATGAATATGTAGCATTCCTTTCTGAAAAAGCATTTTTTAATCCAAAAATCCATTTATAAAAGAAATGTGGCATTCTACTGGCTCCTAGTTAAAAACCTATGTGTGATTTTTCAGGTCCAACCACAGCAATTACAAAGGCTTTCCCAGATAGGCCTCCAGGGGAGAGCTGCCAGCCCTGCACCAGGCTTATAGCCCAGCAGGTAGACTGTAGTCTCAAAGAGCAGCTGCAGTCAGACCCTGAGGCCCATGTCTGCTCATGCTCTTTCACATACGTGCATTCCTGGCCCAGGGGCCTTCACTCCTAGTCTCTATCTCCTGTAAACGCCTCAGCTGGAACCTCCTTCTGGAAAACTTGAAGACACTCTGACTCAGCACTCAGTGCTTTCCAACTCCTAGTCTTTCTCCCTCACATTACTCCCAACTCCAGGGCCCTACAAAACCTCAAAAGGGAAATGACCTCCAGATCAGTATTGAGCCACCTGACCCTTGACCAATATGCTGGCTCCAGGGGGTAAAATGGAACAAGAGAGTCGGGGCTTCCTCTAGTTTCAGCCTTTTGCATAGACTATTGCAATGAGGGTTTTTTAATAAAAGGCTTCACTGTAACTTTCAATTTGGCTCCCTGTTGCTTTTATCAGTATTCTGACACCTACACAATTCAGCTCTTTCAGGATTAGCTGAGCTCCTAATAGTTAAATCAATCTTTTCCAATGGTTTAAGTTAAAATACTCACTTAATTTTTTCATGTTAGTAAGGAGACTATAAGTTATTTCATCATATTAAAGATAGGAAGTCTAAAATTTAGTTTACTTTGAAATGAGAGAGGCACATCTAAATACATGTATAAGCTCTATATACATTATTATATTTAATAAGTGTTGTTTCCAGGATATCCTTACATGAAAACTCTTATACATTATTAGTGCCAATGTTTTCAAATGAATGGGCAGAGCTCCAGCACCCACAAATCTGGTGAATGCCACAGGCTGCAGTATAAAACTGCCATTCATCTCACAGTCACTTGTTGAGCAATCTCAGCCATTATAGGTCACAGTAACACTCTGGAAGCAGATAGACTGGCAAAACAAGTGCCAAAAAATTCAGGGACTTTCGTCACAGAAGTCTACTGACATTTATTTCTCATACTTTCAATAAACCAATGATCTAGTTTCCAAACTCCTTGCAGGTAAAAGCAACACACAAAACAAACATCTGATAGCTTAAAAATAAAAGATCAGGGGAATATCAGAAGTAGACAAAAGAAAGAGAACCAAAGCAGGGTGAGGCCATTTAGTATAGCAGTACAACAATTAATGCTAAAAATGATGACTCTAAGTCATTAAGGGGAGCTTGAATTACTTATTATATGCTCTATTTAAGATATCAACAAAGAACTGATATATTACTACTAGTACATAAAAGATGTATCCATTCTTACTAGAGGAGTAGCTATTCCTGTCCATGAAAGAACTGTAACCACTATTTCAACCACCATATAGTGAATTCCTTCTCCTCCGTTATTTTCAGAAACAACCAGCTGCAGCAAGGGGCTGAGCCAGTACTTCGCATAAGGGCGAAAGACCTAAAAGAGAATTTAAAAGCCATATATCAAAGGATTGTTTTCAATAACCAAAATATTAATCCACAAACATATACTCCATCAGTTAAAATTTTATATTATGACTTGACTTAAATTTAAAACAGATGTAAATTCCAACAATTACCCTACTTAATAGGTCAGATTCTCTGCTGAATTCTCTCATCACCCCCCAAAACCACAATTCAATGGAAGTCAATTTGCTATTGATGTCTTCTTTGCTTAAAACCTTTCTGATATAACTATGCTGAGATAAATCAAAATGAACGTATTCTGTATCAACCTTGTCCTATCTGAATAATATTCAGCTCTAGAGAATTATAATTTTATTTTATGCCAATGCATAAGGTATATGAAAAATGAGACTATGCAAATTAGTTACATGTGTATGGCTATTTTTCCCCCATTTCATCCTATATTATGGAAGACTTCATATACTCAAGACTCAAATCTAAATAAAATGTATCTCTATACTAAATTCTATTTATTTTAGAAATTGCAAGAAAATGCTATTTGGATGCAAAATAACAGATTAAAGTATGATTCAAGCTATCTATCTTGACCTTTGCCACCTTCTTTTTTAAAAAAGTGTTTTCTCGCCCTAGCCGGCTTGGCTCAGTGGATAGAGCGTCAGCCTGTGGACTGAAGGGTCCCAGGTTCGA